AACGGGCAGGTCAAAGTTCGCACGTCCAACACCGATATAATTTGAGGCAAACGGCAAGGCGGACTAGCTCGAGACCACCAGACTCAACTACCACTATATTTTGACGATGAAAGTGAGGAAGTTTTCGAAACGTCAGTCCAAATATAATTTGGTCCATGAATCCGCCCCATCTTCTTCCTCCTTACCTTTGGGAGATGATGAACGCGATGGTTGATAAATAAATGATATAGGTATGATGATATAGACTTGAGATAGAGTCAACGATTTTGTCCAATTGGGCGCTATTAAGGCATTTAACTTATCGCGCGCAAATAATCGATTACTCATTACTGAGCTGTTTGGTGACCTCAATTGAAATGTTACCAAATAATCTTACTAGCTATTCTTGAAAAGTCAATAGCATCATTTTCGAACATTCACAGCTTAAGTGCCGAAGCATTCTCTCCACAACAAGCAAAACCAACCGCTTTAATATTCGCAACACACTCTGAATAATAACAAGTGTGATTTACAAATGAAAAACTTACTGATGACCTAGTTCGTGGGCGATAATGTCAGCCGTTCCGAATCCCCGGTCGACAACAACGAGGCAACCACTATCTTGACTGCACATGGCCTGGTAATGAGCCACTCCTGTTCGGTGCGGAAAAAGGGGAAATTACGATGCTGGTTAATTTATGTTTTGTGGCAACATGAAAGCCTTTTTCACACAGATGTAAATGCTATGCGTTACACGTCATAAAAATTGCTTTGCTTTCAAGATATTATCTTAACCAGGGTTATTTTCCAACACGACTTCTGAGTGCTCTGAAAACTGAGAATTATGGACATGTTGAAAGCACAAAGTGGAAATAATTGAATATGGAGATTATTGTAGGTTCTTGACTAGCATCGTCCTCATATAAGTGCATAGGCTGCGATTCCAATTAACATTTATAAAGTGAAACTGAGTTTGTTTAAGTATAAAATAAAAAGAGATGGAACGCACAGTTTCATAACTCTTCAGGCTCGGTGATTGTATTTGATTTTGATCTTATAAATCATTGATTGCGTCATCTATAATATCATTAGTATACTCATTGACCTCGTTTTTATTACTAAAAAGCTTTCATTTCTTTCTTAATTATCTTTGTTCGGCCAATCGAGGGGCATTTCGAAAAAAAGGAAATTATGCATTTGCATAACAACGAAATAGTACCCCGTTTTTAGAACAGTGTGCATTTTAAATAACAATTCTGCTGTAGAAAAAGGGCCTTAATGAGATATGACAGAGTTGCAACAGTCCTAAATGACGTAATATGTTTGCACACACAAATTACTCATGATAAATACGAAGCTTGACCAATTTTTGGCCGTTTGGATGTGTGCGCCATCGATATACACTAAATGCTGTCAACAAATTTATAGGTCTTTGGTCTTCATTATTAAACCTACTTTCCAATAATTCAGATGAGGTGCTTACCTAGTGCCGTAGATTTGAAGTTTCTAAAAGAAGATGACACATTGTGAATGGGCAACCCAACAAAATAGAACACAAACTGATCGTTTAAAAAATATAATTTATACTATCTTGGTTTATTCCTTACAACTAAAGGAGGCGTAGGACTGCTATCAACCTTGGCTTAAAGGTCTTGTTTACAAGATTGCGATCAGTCTATTGAAGCCGTTAGTTATTTTCATGCATGCGTATGTATGCGTGGTTGGACTATTAACGTTCTTCAATCGATGCGTTGCCGACTATATTTAGCTACCTTAATATTAGCTTATCATTAAAGCGCAACAACTGAGGGAAATAAGAGGTAGGTAGACCCTGCGCACATCTATTTCACAACAGGCATCTTGACACTTATCATGGAATTGCATATATTTCTAAGAAATTGATGTCCGCGTCGAGCGTTACGAATTATTATTTTTGGTTGATTATTTACTTTTACTCTTTCTTCTTTTTTACTTTGCCTTCTTTTTTCTTTTTTACCTTTGTTTTTGTCTTATATATTTTTTGCGGGCACACGGTGTATTACTCGAGACACTTCTTTGAATATAGATATCCAATTAACAGAGTAAGCACTAATTCACGATGATGGCCTGGGTCTAGTTGCACGATCTAAGTATTATCTTTAATCGGGGCCGCATATACTTAGTTGATCCTGTTGTCGCGTTCCTTGCTTTTGGTGACCACCTGCCATGAAGTGGGAAACCAATGAAATGCAAGAATCATGTTAATTTACATGACCACAGCACGTTTTCCCTAATTCGTTTTCGAAATCTAAATGATCTCTTGCGAGTTTAGGGTAAAACAATATTGTATGTCAGGTGAATATTTACTTTTATAGTTAGTACAATGTTTTAGTATATCTAAGTCATTGCATAGCACACGAGAAAGACATGCTAGGCGGCGAATTCAGTGTGATTCACCGTATTTTTTTCAATATGAAATAGTTACCGTAAATTAAATCTTATTAATCTTAAACATAATACATATTATGATCAAGTAAGTTGCTAAACTAGCCTCTGTCATCAAACTGAGCTGTGCCTCTACTGTGGGAAAAAAAGTCTGCGGGTTTCAATAAAAGGACCATGCATGTAAACGAGTCAGCATGAATTAAACTGAGACATGTTTCTTCCAAAAACTGTGATAGGGGAGACGTTTGGAGATTCCTTTGCCAGGACCTTCCTCATGCTATACGATAGATTGGAGGCGGCTCTTGGGCAGAAGTTTTAAAATATTTTCGGTTGATACTGTTCAGTGCGCTGCTGCACTATCATATCTCTTTTACGAGGATTTACATTTCGTTTTTTTCGTTACCTGTAACCACCGGTATACGGATAGAGAAATTTCTGTACTAATCCTCCTAGGCTGGCAGTTCAAAGGTTTGAATTTTGTCAGATGGACATTTCATGCAGACATAATCATCACGTTTACTTGTTAGTACTATCATAGAAGAAGGCTAACCATTATCGATTTAAAAAGGCATAACATGCCGGAGGGTCCCATAGAATTATATGCGTGTATTTATCAGCAAGGGACAAATTTTCCGCGAGAACTGTTAGTGAAAAACTTAACCTGTGTTACTCAGTTTGCTCTAAGAATTTTTATTATAGAGACGTGCCTAGTTCATATATCGTAAAAATTGGTTACTTGAGCTTTGGAAATAAAGAAAAATATATATAATTTTTAGAATTTACCCAACGTTCAGCAGAATCGCGGAATCCCAGGTTCGGTGTTGTCTCAGTGTATTGGCCCACTTGCAAAACTTTCCCATTACTTCTTCGTGATTCCTATTTGACCAATCTTCTAGACGCTGTCTCCTCTACAAAAGAAAACCGATTTTACTTGAGGACAAAATGAATGTCTTGTTTAAAAAATTGGAGCACGGTTGTGTGAATTTGATAGGCATAGTGTTCTCAACTATGGCGACTGTCGGCAATCTGCACAGGCAGTTCATATATTTGCAAAGTATAAAGGCACTTGTTTGCGAGAAAGTGTAATTGAAGGAAAAGGGATTAAGATAAACCTGCATAATGAAACACTGCATATTTTCATGAAAACAAACGTAGAATCATCCCATGAACCATTTGCTTTAAGAACAGTTTAGAAAATTTGCAATGTATCTTATCGGTGCAGAACATCATAAATTGCTTACCGCAAAGTTGGAATCGAGCAGGAGAATATCCACAATACTTATTTTCAGTGAAGCTTGCAGACTGGGGTGCTTGAAATTGTGCGCCACCTGTTAATTAAAAGTACAAGTCTATTATATTTATGCAAAATGGTTTTAAGGAGAGTGAACAACCCACAGGAAGTAGCACTGGGTCTGCCTAATTATCTGTAAGTTATTTAAAGTCGATGGATGATCATGAGTTAAATATTCATTTTCCTTGCCCTTCATCCTTCACATACGACGACTTTTATCACTCCCTCTGGTTAATGCGGTTACACTGCACCTTTAAGGGAATTTCTCGTTTAACTAACGTTATGACTGCGTTTCGCGCAGCGGATGATACTACAGGCTTGGGAACTTCAAGTAAGCACACGATTCTGCGTCACAGTATCTTCCTAAAAGGACAGTTTTCAGGGATTTGACATCGTGCATGGGGTTTGGTACGTATGGCATCGAGCGAAACTTTTTATGTAGTTCATGAACGTAACTAAAACGTTGGAGACTACGTCACAGTAGGACATAAGTGTTATCCATATAAATGATTTGCAAATACTTAATAAAAACGGCAAATTGTATGGTCGTTTATTTTGGCTATCTGGGCAAGAAAAACTACATTAAACTTACGACTGTTTATAAGTGGCATAACTATGTAACCCAGCTGTTCTCGGTTCGGCTGCTTTTCCTATAAGAATTTCAACTTAAAGGCTTAAATAGCAGTCAAATGCACTACTGAATACTTTCAATAAAAGGCCTCAGCAAAGGTGTTCCCTGAGTAAAACAGCTGTCCAGCGAACATTTAAAAAAGGAAAGCTTATGGGAAGAAAAGCAAGCTAAAAGAGCCCAAGTAAACAACAATCGTTTTATTGGCTTTTTTCCTATATGCGCAAGGATAGCAAATGAGAAGGGCAAATTTAGCCTGAGTAAAACATTTATGAAAGATTAAGGCCTTAAATAGGAGGATGGTGTCCGAGAAACCTTACATATTTTTGGCATTTGAAATATTATACGTTCACAGGATGGAATATGGTCATCCTAGTTAGCTCTGGAACCGCCATCTGGAATATACCGAAGCAGTCGCCTTTTAATGAAAGATGAATTCTCGAGAACCATTACTCACGGTAAAAAAGGACCTGGATTTGGCTGCGCTAGCCAAAAACTCAATGCTAATCCCAAACGGAAACGCTAGAGCTTCAAGCTCCTTTTTCTTTTCAATAGCAGGGTGCGTGAATGATC